GATGCTCTTTCTGCATCAAGTGAAGTACTTAATACATCGTATCCATAAAGTATGAGCCCTTTTTTAAGGACTACAGACATTGTTGGACAATACTTGATGCAACTGGATATCACTGTAACTTATTTACCAGTTTCTATCAGCATATGACTGAGTAAACCACAGTCCCTGAAAGAAACCATAAAACAACCTCAACTCCTTGCAGAAACACCCATCAGCCACAGCTTGCAGCCATGTCTGCGTGGCTATGCCACAGGCACTATCAAAAGGAGACCGCATTTGGGAGTTCCCATGCCCTGTGGTGAGTATCTGTTCTCCGGTAGCACGGCTCAGCAGACGGAAGCACTTGCTACATCCAGACTGCATTCGCTCCCCGGGTTCCATGGAAGGAAAGAACAGACTCCCCAAAATCTGTCCTCTGACCTCTATACTCCTGCCTGCATGATCACACACAAGTGCACGCACGCACGCGCCAGTAATTAAATAATAATAACTAAATAAATAAAAGCACCTGTTACATTTATGGGAGTAATCGGGAATAAGATAATACGTTGGCATTTGGAATTGTAAAATAAGGAATGTGAAGTGTTATTAGCAGTAGTCACAGGAAGAAAATAACCACACTCTTGTGTCACCAATCAATCATCAAGGGAGATTTTTTTAAGTCATATTAAAACTGTGTGAATAGGGACTTTTAAATTATAATTCTTTATTTTGCTTTCTACTTGCTGTGCTATCAGCTTGATTAATTCTTCAAGGATCCTGTACCTTGTCACCAAATCAATCAGCCTAGAGCATAATTCCTATTATATCTCATCCAAAACCCTCCCTAGCTCCCCCTGGAGCACAGGGGACAACCACAGGGAGCCCACCGCTCCTGTGCACATGCCCAGCCCCCAGCCCTCCTCTGACCTGGGGGGGGGGGTTGGGGAGGGCTGGGGAGGGGCTTCCCATCAGCCACTAGACGCCTCTGCCCCTCTGAGGACAGCACAGTCCACTCCACCGCCTTCCCCATCAAGTTTTCCCAGCCTCCAAGGCTTGGGACAGGATTTGTGTCAAATGACTTTCTTTGCAGTTTTCTGGTCACTCGGAGAGGTCACATTGTTTTCAATACAGAATTAGTAATGCTGTTTATCACAGACTGTTTATCATAGAAAAACAGTTACGTATTTTCAAGAAAGGGTCTCAATATTATAGCCTGACTAACCTGAAACTCACTAAATAAACAAAGTTGGCCTAAAATTCCACCTGCTCCTGGGCCCCAAGCCCTGAGACCATAGGTATGTGCTGTGACGTTCAGCATTATTCTTGAGTATTTGTTACTTTTATTCTCTCTGCTTTGTGTCTTTGTGTGTCTACGGAGGAGATGGATAGCACTGGCACTAGTGGAGGTCAGGGCAGCTTACAGGAATCAGATTCACTTCCATCACGTAAATCCCAGGGATCAAATTTGACTTGGCAGGCTTGGTGGCAGGCGCTGTCAGCCACAGAACTATGTTTTTACCATGGTCTTGTCTGGTGTCCCAGGTCAGGTCCCCTAGAACTGGAGTTAGGGATGTTTGTGAGTCAACTTGTGGGTGCCAGAAACTGAGCTTGGGTCCTCTGCAAGAATAGCAATTGCTTAGCCGGGCATTGGTGACAGATGCCTTTAATCCCAGCACTTGGGAGGCAGGCGGCCAGCCTGGTCTACAGAGCAAGTTCCAGAACAGCCTTCAAAACAATAGAGAAACCCTGTCTTGATAAACAAACAAAAAAAATCCCATAACAAAGAAATCGAAACTGTTGTGCTCAGACTCTGAACCCCAAAAGCCACCAGGAGACCAGATCTGATGCAAAAGCAGAGACTTTTTAATTTATGAGTTAACTTGGGTCCTTCATGTGTCTGATACAGTGGGTGGAGTAGGAGAGACCCGGAGCCGCAGTGAGGCGGGACGCATATTGGGAATAGAGCAAGGGGGAGTGTGTGTGTGGGAGGGTCTGCTAGTTGCATAGTAACAGTCTCAGGATTGGTGCAACCCTGGCTGGGGGAACCTGTCCAGAGATGATTGGTCAGCTGCGGCTGCAGAAAGGTTGCTATGCCTGGAGGTCATCCAAGGGCCTGGGCATTGCTACCTCCACTACTATCAGGAAAGCACATCCAGAGCCCGCCAGCTGACTTCTGATTGGCTCCTTGCCACACAAGGGTATCTGACAGTTGCTTCCTAGTGATTAGGGTAAGGTTGGGGGCTGAGCACATGCTGCTGAGTCAGAGGCCTACCTTCTGCTGGGTCTTTTCTGTCAGGGTCGCCAAAGCAGGGGGCTGGGTGAGGGGCTGGGTCCTTCAGAAACAGATCCCTTGGGGGCTTTTCTGTGATGGTGAGAGCGAGTCAAGCCCCTCCTGTAATCACGGTATTCTAATGTGAGCCAGACCTCAGTTTTAAAGTTGGTAACATTTAAAACTCAGTGGCCTTTACATTATGCTGTAGGGATTGATGAGGTCGTGGATCATCAGCTCTGTGCTGTTGTAAGGTAATTTAGGATGCCTGAATTACTCTTTGCTTTGTAAACCATTTGAATGCCTGGGAGCATGCACTTTGCATACTGTAGCTCACTTGCAGCTTCCCTGAAGGGAAAGGAACTCTGGAGTGATGTTTGGGGCCTAAACTCAAGACTTGTTTTATAGTGGTAGAACAATCACTTCACTATACGATTCACGACTGTGGTAAGACTTGTTTTGTAAATCTAAGCAATTTCTATCGAGTGACTTTTAAGTTTCGTTAGGAATAACATAAAACTAAGCATCAACTTTACATTCACAAGGATGTGAAATATTGGCTCTAAAATATATATGAGGTAAAAATACGATTAAGAAAATTGCCGGGGGCAGTGGTGGCACAGGCCTTTAATCCCAGCACTCAGGAGACAGAGGCAGGCGGATCTCTGTGACTTCGAGGCCAGCCTGGTCTACAAATCGAGTTCCAGGACAGCCTCCAAAACAATACAGAGAAACCCTGTCTCGGAAAAAAAAAAAACCTCCAGTCATTTAGTGCATAGTGATTGTCTGTGTTCTGCACATCTATGTCACGCATGTACACAGACTGTAAACATCGATGTTCTAATTGTAAGACCACAACTATCATAATTATTCCAATCTAGCTTGAGAAACTGCAGACCGTAAAACAGTATGAGCTCCCCCTGCTGTTTCGACTGCTAAACTTAACTAACATTTCCGGTGCCCGGGGAAGGATGCCTTGATTCCAAGGCTGGTTCGTAAACAAAGGGTAAAGAAAACAGAATTAAAATCCCATAACGTTAATAAATTAGTGGGCAGAAAAGGAAGAGGAGAAGGGAGGTTGCCAAGGCACCTCATGGCGTGGGGGCAGGGGGGGGGAGCTGGACTCGGAAAGCCACACTCCGTTTACGATAGCCCAGGCTAGCCCAGAATTAGACCGTTTCCCGGGTCAGCTCTAGGGACATCGTCCTGGAGCTGTTACCTCTCCGGGCCTGAGCCTGGCAGGGCAGCACTGAGCAGAGGATTTGGAGAAACCGTAATGACACTGAACAGGAGGCTAGCTTAACATCGTGTCCAAGTGCCATCCGAAGCCTCCTCCGGATGGCTGCGCGGAGCGCTGTAGGCTAATGAGGGGGACCATCTGCAGTGCTTGGCTGGCAGCTGCGCCCCCTCATCCTGCACCAATGCCTCCTAAAGGGATGCTCTGCAGAGGGCTCCCGGCTCCCAGCGCTGGGAAACGCAGTGCTGCCTCACAGCCATGGCATCTGGAAGCCAAACAAATATTTAACTCTGTGTGTTTTAGTAGGCCTCACGTCTGCAGATGTGAATAGCAGGAGGAACATGCAAGTCTGTTTATTCGTAAGTTTCTCTTTATGTCGTCACATTCAGGGCCACGAGTAAAAATGTTTATTTCTTTTATAAAAATTTTATAGACCATCTTACATGCAGGGAAGATTGGAATTGAGTGAACTGGTTATTTGCTGGTTATCATTATGTCAAAGTCACAGACTGGTTTCTAAAGAAGTGTTTTGTTTTGTCTTTTTAACTCAGGAATATATTCAGATTCCCTTCCTTTAAATGTGTTCATTTGCAATATACAGTTAATTTCTGGTCGCATAATTTCAAAAATAAGAAATAACACTGTAATGATAATCTTAAAATCTTTATGAACAAATTTCAAATTATGATGGGATGGTATTTTGTAGCATTTGCTTGGCAGCATATGGGGAATTATATAAGGATTATAATAGGCATCAAAATATTTTAAAGCAGCCACTAAAGGTTTTAAAGATATGCCTAATGACAAACTCAGCATTTAAAATAAATACTACAGACTACAAAGCTGATGTCAAAGAACGTAAATTATTTTGGTTTGATGTGATTCTCAAATTTTATGGTAATTCAACTATCTTTAACTTCTATTTCAATTTGTCCTCTGTCATTAATATAGCCTTATTGAAATCAATTCTCTCTCTCCAAAAATACAATGATACTTCCTTTCAGGTATGATTTAAAATTTAGTCAATGCTTCCATCCTAAGAGGTTAAAGGTGAAGAAATAGAGACCAGAACACTTTTTAAAACTTTGTCCTTACACGTCAAAGGTTAACAGATTAATTGCAACAGGGAAAGGCAACATTTTGACTAAATCGGCGGGAACTAGGTGAATTCTCCACAGAAAATACTCAGATTCGTCAATAGTTTAAAAGTATCCCACACAGCAGCACCATGGCCTTCTATGTCTCTCATCAGTAAGATTTTAAACATTATTTCCCAACAGCACACACAGCAGTCAAGCTGCGAGGTTAAAATGTGGCAATTCGCCGGGCGTTGGTGGCGCACGCCTTTAATCCCAGCACTCGGGAGGCAGAGGCAGGCGGATCTCTGTGAGTTCGAGGCCAGGCTGGACCGACAGCCTCCAAAACAGAGAAACCCTGTCTCGTAAAACCAAAAAAAAAAAAAAAAAAAAATGTGGCAATTCTTTCTCCCCACACCTAGGAAGCTCGACTTACCTTCCAAAAACATTACAAGTGGCCCCAACCTGGAATGAATGTCCTTGTTCTCCATTACTGGCACAGATCTACAAATGAAATTTCTAAAGAAAACTCCTTAACCACTCTCAGCTTGTTTTCATAATAAATTTCATGTGTGTTATTAGTAATATTGATTTTTAGCAATCAGCAATAGCGTTAATAAAAAGCCCCTACCATTTAGTGAGTGTGACGTCTCTGCTTTGGGATTTATTTATTAGCAACCTCTATAGCCCCAGCACGATCAGATATTGCTTAATTAAATGGAAGAAGTAGCCTGCCAAAAAAGTCTCTTTCTTTGTAAAATAAATGCCTCATTTTCAGTTTTCCCAAAAACCATCATAGCGTGAGTCTCTTTGAGAGTGGACCGAGCTTCACCCCAAATGTGTTTCGTCTAGCCTAAAAAGTGCCCTTTGTGTATAACTTTAACGTTTTTTCCATATAGGGTGCCAGATACAAATGCCATCCCTAAGAGGTTTCTGCTCTGCTAAGTATCTGAGAATCGTTCCTCTCAGAATTCCAGTGCACACCAGAAATATTTGCTGCCTAGAAGCAAACATACATTTCCAGCATGTACTCGGTGCTGTCTGGGGTGAGACTCACAGTTATTGCATGGCTCTGGTATATAGTCAAGCGTGTCTACAAATGAAAAACAGACTTGCTCCGTCGAATGCCAGGAATATTTAAACAAATAAATAAATGATCTCAAATCCTTTGGGGAAAGCGGTTGCGTTTGTCTGGCCTTTCCTCTCTCTGCCCCTGGTCTACTTGTTTATCTAAATTCATCCATAATCCCGTCGTCTACTCCTCGCTCACCAACCGCAACGACTCGTTACGTTGATGAAGAAAACGATGGGAGGCTACAGGAAAAGGTCACGTGGCGAAGCAGAGTTCAGAATCTGAGAGCAACCGTGCAGTTCCTCGTCGCTACCACTAGCTGGCGCGAGAGCTCTAAAGATGTGATGATATAGTGCATCGCCGCTTGTTAATTAATAAAACTGTTTTCAAGCTGCTAGTAGTTTACCCGATGAAAATATTTGATCTAATGCAGCAACAAGGAGGCAGACATTCCGGTGAAAACAGCTGTATTGTATGCGTTTTGTCTTCTTCTAAAGAAATAAAAATGTATCTTTAAAGAAGGCGAGAGTTTCGCTTTTTAAATCGTATCCAAATAATGAAACAGAAAGGAAGCCTTCCCCACCCCCATCCCCCCCCACACACAAATAGCTCATAATATATATATATACAACTATAAAAACATTCCGGTTATATACTGCTCTGCTAACTTAAATAAGTGTATAATTATATCTTTGGTCTAAGCCAGATATGTTTCCCACGTCAAGGTCGCAGGAACACTGCGTGTCTTTCTCCCTTGGCTTTCCTCTTAGCAGATGCATCCCAGCAATTTTGGATTTTCCTGTCCTCCAGCTCGCTAGTGAACATTCACAATACCGTGCCTCTAGACTCATGTTAGGGGGAGGAGCCAGACAGCCGTCTCTGTAAGGTAGCATTCCTCATTCTAAGACACAGTCCTGAATAAGCGTGCAGGAAGTTGCCCATAGTGTTCACGATGTAAACGAAGACATGCAGAATTTAGGGGGGGGGATCTGGAGACAACAATTCAAATGCAAAAAACTCAAAATATCCCTTGCCCCGAAAACAAGGATTCTTCAGGGAAATTTTATACACGTGCTATATATGAGGTTAAAATGTAGAAAATGTACAGTGGTAGATTCCTTTTGCTTTGGCGCAAGGATGTGAACCCAGATAACGCAATGACACGTAATTTTTATAAAGAACTATAGTTTTACTGCCGACCTTTTAAAGTTCCTAACGTTGAGGCTGAGAATCTCATGTGCTTATGTTGCCCACTGGCACCCGGTTCCCTGAACCTGGGGAGGAAGAAACTTGGGATGGAGTTAGTTTCTCTGACCTTGGCTGTGACTTTCACAAGAGGAAAAATATGAGGCTTTCCTTCCCAAGCCCTTACCCTAATCCTCCAAATAAAGTGGGCCTTCTCTTGGGTAGGCTTAGATTAAAACACCCTCTTCTGGTCACCTGCCCCAGGGACCTGGAGGGAACTGGTTCCAGGAGGCCCTGTGGATGGATGGATGCTGCAGTCCATCCTACGAGTCGGCTCATCTTTGCATATGACTTGCTCAGACGCACACATCCTCCCGAGGCACTTAAACCCCCCTTTCTAAATGCTTTCTAAAACAGGCATATTGAATGACAAAAACAAAACACACCATAGTGGGGGGGCACTCTGCACATTTTCAGTGTTCCAGTCTTTAAAATACTTGCAGTATTTCCCATTTGTAATTGTTTGCATCCACGGATAGAGAGCTGGAGGCTATTGAGTGATGGTTGTCCTTACAACTCAGTCTCTCTGTATAACTCAGTCTCTCTGTCCTTACAACTCAGTCTCTCTGTATAACTCAGTCTCTCTGTATAACTCAGTCTCTCTGTATAACTCAGTCTCTCTGTATAACTCAGTCTCTCTGTCCTTACAACTCAGTCTCTCTGTCCTTACAACTCAGTCTCTCTGTATAACTCAGTCTCTCTGTCCTTACAACTCAGTCTCTCTGTCCTTACAACTCAGTCTCTCTGTATAACTCAGTCTCTCTGTCCTTACAACTCAGTCTCTCTGTCCTTACAACTCAGTCTCTCTGTATAACTCAGTCTCTCTGTCCTTACAACTCAGTCTCTCTGTCCTTACAACTCAGTCTCTCTGTATAACTCAGTCTCTCTGTCCTTACAACTCAGTCTCTCTGTACAACTCAGTCTCTCTGTCCTTACAACTCAGTCTCTCTGTATAACTCAGTCTCTCTGTCCTTACAACTCAGTCTCTCTGTATAACTCAGTCTCTCTGTCCTTACAACTCAGTCTCTCTGTCCTTACAACTCAGTCTCTCTGTATAACTCAGTCTCTCTGTCCTTACAACTCAGTCTCTCTGTCCTTACAACTCAGTCTCTCTGTATAACTCAGTCTCTCTGTCCTTACAACTCAGTCTCTCTGTCCTTACAACTCAGTCTCTCTGTATAACTCAGTCTCTCTGTCCTTACAACTCAGTCTCTCTGTCCTTACAACTCAGTCTCTCTGTATAACTCAGTCTCTCTGTCCTTACAACTCAGTCTCTCTGTACAACTCAGTCTCTCTGTCCTTACAACTCAGTCTCTCTGTATAACTCAGTCTCTCTGTCCTTACAACTCAGTCTCTCTGTACAACTCAGTCTCTCTGTCCTTACAACTCAGTCTGTCAGCTAAACTTTTACAAATGTTCCTTCTGGTCCAAGGCTAATGTCCTTTCCTGAATGGAGTTTTCCCTTTAAGGTATCAATGAAGCTTCATCTTTATTTATTTTATATAAATGCACTGGGGTGTGTGTGTGTATATATGTGTGTGTGTGTATATATATATATGTGTGTGTGTATGTGTGTATGTGTATGTGTGTGTATGTGTGTGTGCATGTGTATGTGTGTGTGTGTGTGTGTATGTGTGTGTATGTGTATGTGTATGTGTGTGTGTGTGTGTGTGTGTGTGTGTGTGTGTGTCCACAAGCCACAGCTCCAGTGTGAGGATAAGAAGACAAATGGCAAAAGCCAGCTTCCTTGTCTACTCTGGCTGCTCAAGTAATCAGCCTTGGTTACAAGCACCTTCAATCCAACGAGCCAACTTGCCGGCCCACAGTCCAGCATCTTCTTTGAATGACCCCATAAGGTCCCAAATGAACCAGGTCAGAGAGTGGTCTATAGTGTGAGCAAATGTTCTTTTGGATCCTCCAGTTGCAATCTCCTTTGTGAAGCCATTTTCATAACACCTAAGTGACTTGTTGTGTGTGTGTGTGTGTGCGCGCGTTGCATGTGTGCGGGTAGCCCCAGAGCCCAGAAAGGGTTATCAGATGCTCTGGAACTGAAGCTACAGGCAGTTGTTAGTCACCTCATGTGGATGGAAAGCAAACTCCGGTCATTTCAAAGAAAAGCAAATGCTCTTGACCCCCTGATGCATCTCCCCACTCCCCTATCCTCCCACCCGCCTTCCCCACACACACACATGACTTTTTACAAAGGAGAACATTCAGAAACTGAAAATGAAATCTGGAGAAAGGATCCAGAATTCTCCATTGCAGACACAATGCAGAAGTTTGTCGTGCCTGCCAGGCCGGGTTTCCTCCTTGGCTGTCACCAGTAGTGTTGCTGCATCTTTTCGGGAGGTGTGACAGGAAACTATATCAATCACTGTGTAGAATGGCCCAACCTTCCTACGGTTATCTTTTGTCATTTACTGGCTTTGACCTCCGTAAGGACTACATTAGGTGCTACCAACACTAGAAGCAGGTCCCTCTCCAAAGCCTAGTGCACGCCTGAGCCCCATGCAGTTTAATTCATATTCCACTCAGCACAGCCGTTTTATTTCCAGTGGAAATTGCTCATTTAATTGCACTGTAAGTTTTATGGGGTATGCCCCAGGCTGCGCTCTTTATGCTAGGCATTTCAGTATTTATGAGCAGAGCTATACCCAAAACTTCAAACATAAAGTAAAACCAGCAAAATATGCTCTCCTCTGGTTCCATAAATACTTTTCACCAGTTTCATTATTTTTTCCAATGAAATTAAATGAGTGTGTTAACCCTGTAGCACAGGCTATTGCCTGGCACCCCCAGAGCTGCTTTTGTCCTTCAGAGTCAGGCCGATGCAGCTCCATTTTCCTGCCTAGATGAGAAGGAGCCAAGGAGACAGCTCCATGGTTAAGAACACCCACTGTCTTTACAGCGGACCTGAGTTCAGTCCCCATCACCCACGTCGGGAAGCTCGCAGCTGCGTGTAACTCTGGCTTCAATGCCTCTGGACCTCAAGAGCTCGGGTACACACATGTTGCACGCAAAACTAACGGAAGAAGTAAACACACGTTTGATGTATGCAGATTTAAAGAAGGGTTCCGAACAGCCAGCACAGTCCATGTGTTCCCTAGCCACAGTAAGGCATCCTCTGCTCACAGCAGAAAGAAGTTTCCTACGGGAGACTAACCCGTAGGAGGGGCTGGCACGGGTGTTTTTGTGACCAGGATCTGCTTCTAGAGTAAACAGACACTCTGGGTCACAGAACTCTGGGTGTGCGCTAGAGATGGCTTAAAGGAGCTTTGTTGGCCTTTTGCAGATGATTTTGCCTGTAGAGACTCAAAATGCATTCCTGGACCACTCATATTCCAGATTCCCCCCCTTATTTTGCTTAACCTATGACTATTTTTATATGCTACTGTAATCCCACTATATAAAATACATGAAAGCCTGATTCCAGGAATTCTGAAGGTTGTGACAAATAGTTGAGAGAAGCCTCATCACGGGAGTTTCCTGAAGGCACACAGACAGGGCGTGAGAAGCAGCCACAGAACAACCCACCTCTGTTGTCTGAAAAGCGTTCCCGGGTCCAGTGGGGGAAGCTCGGCAACGGAGGGATGCAAGGATGTAGTCAGAGCCCCTGAGAAAAGTGCCGGAGCTCGAGGATTAACCTGTACATGAGGGAACAAAGCTGAATAGAGTGAAATCAAAGTTGCGCTCTTCGAAAGAATAGGGAACAGTTCCAAGATTTAGAAGGTGTGAGAGCCGGTTACATAACCGCAGAACAGGGAATTTTGGACATGTGCCTCTGAGTGGCAGTTCTCGGCGAGTCAATGGAGTGGCAAGGGACTGAGAATCCTAACAAATCCTGCCAAGCGGCAAGTGCACACCCAGGGACAGACCTGGTTTCTATCTACACACCACAGCATCTATGTGGTCATTCCTTCATTGATGGGTTCCAAGTTCAAGGCTCACCCAGGCGGAACCTGCATAGGTCTAACTAGGCCCCCTGAAGGCATGTGACGGTGGATGGCTTGAGCACTTTGTGTGGCCACTGGCAATGGGACCAGGATCTATCCCTAGTGCACGAACTGGCTTTTAGGAGCCCATTTCCTATGGCGAGATACCTTTCTCAGTCTGGGGGGAGGGGAGACTTGGTCCTGCCTCAGTGTGGTGATGGGACAGACTTTGAGACTTCATTGATTCCCCTTGGGATGCCTTACCCTCTCTGAGGAGCAGATGGAACTGGGTTTGGTATGTAAAGTGAAAAAATAAAAATAAAAGACTAGCCCAGGCTACATCAAGAGACGTCGCTACCTGTCTTCAAAAAGCAAAATGAAAGTTTTCTCTCTGTAGAAACACATACTTCGCCCCCCCACCCCCATTTTCGACACAAACGCAGATGGAGAGAATACTGTCTACCTCACCAATGGGATCATGAGAAATGAGGACCACCTTTATTTATTTTGTTTTTGAGAGGGACTCTTCGTCCCCAAACACTCTAGGCTTTAGGCCTGTTTGGGCCACTCGGCCATTTGCTACTCGATTCTGAAATGGCAGTTCGACGGTGGGAGCGTAAAGCCAGGTGCGTGAGCTGACAGGAAGCTGCAGCGAGAGTGACGTGGGGACCGAAGCACAGGGAGTGCCAGGTCAGCCAGGGCGACACTGCAAGCCCCCCAGGAGAGATAACGGTGGTCCATTCATGAAGCAACCTGAGGAGCTGGGAGCACCGAGCCGAGCTGGTGTCCCGGGAGCACCGAGCCGAGCTCGCGTCCCGGGAGGTAAGGTCTCAGGTTATCGTAGATATGTGACGGAGAGGAGGTGGCTGTGTAAGTGGCTGGAGTGAATGAAAGGAATGATGATCTGTATTAGAAACCACACTTCAAGGCACCTCAGAGAATGGCGGCATCCGCGTGTTCTGAAGGTGGGGTTTGGGCCTTGTGGTCAAAGGTCACCATCAGACGCTTGCACAGGCTCACAGGCAGGCTCAGCGATTTCGGTGAGTTGAGCCTACCTTCAAATTCTGGACTAAAGCGTGTGGTACCCCATCGGCTCCTGACCCAGAGGACAGACCGTGCTATCTGTAGGGAAGCTAACAGCAGTCTGCCGCGCCACTTAAGTCAGCAGTTTCTGAACTTGGAGATAAGAACAGATAAGCTGAAGGATTCTCCGGATTCTCTTTGGTTTTATTAGTGACAATGAGACAACAGTCCTCAGTATAACCTTCAACAAGGTTTGAAAGAGCACTCTGTATGTGTCCCGTGTCCCTTCTCATCTGCCCACAGCTTAAAAACAAAAATCAAATTTCTATTATCTGCTATCACCTGTCATCAACAGTTCGGGGAATGTAAAATGCAAGAACAGTCTGTGTGTGGCATGGTGCGGTCAGGTGAGTTTGGCTGCATGTTTGTTGTTTGTTGCAAAAATCAGAATCTTTAATCCCAGCCCGTGAAAGGCAGAGGCAGGTGAATACCTGTGAGTTCAAAGCCAGCCTGGCCGACAGAAGTAGTTTCAGGCCAGCCAGCACTACATGGTGGAAATATGTATAAAATAAATACCTAAGGTCAGAACCACAGAAATGTGGTCGGTTCTAACATGCAGAGTCGTGTTCCTCCTGTCTGAACAGCAGCCAACAGCGTAGCCACCCTCAGAGGCCAGGCCACAGTTGATCATGTTCCCAGGACAATCATTGAGACTGACCTTTGAATTGTATTTCTCCGAAGAAAGTGAGCTGTTCATTTTTACACTGGTTCTCTGGGTCTGCGAGAGGGCTCAGTGGGCACAAGCCTTACGCCAGGAGTTTGAACCCACATGATGGAAGGAGAGGATCAGCTGCAGTTCTTAAAACAAAACAAAACACGGATAACAAACAAAAGGCCTGGGCTGCTTGTTTACAGAGTTCTCCATGCAAAGCAAAGAGAAAAACGATGTTTGCTTTTACCTCTGCCCTAAGTTTACTCTTGGTCAACATCCCAACACCCAGACAAGAAAGGACCACAGCCTGGCCTCCACAGTACTTACTCGGGTCCGGAGGATATGAAGGGAAAAAGGCCATTTTTGCAGCCAATTTAAGCCTCCAAATAAATACCACACAGAAGCGCCGGGGCAGGAAGGGCCACTGGATGGCTCTGTCCTTCCACTGGCTGTTTTTTGGCCTCGGCTTCCTTTCCCGCTTCCCCTCTTTGTGGACGGGAAGGAAACTTCATTGCTGCTGGGGTTCAAGCATGCCTGAACAGATTTCATCCAACTGGTGGGGCAGGATTTGCCAAGGCCCAAGGGGCACCTGGCAGGGACCCAGGGTAGGTTTGCTACTCAAACACATCCAGACAAGTTTAGCGAATGGTGTGGGAGGCAGTGAGGTTGGGGGTGGGGGGAGCGAGGATGCTTGAATTGTGTTGGGGAAGAGGGAGAGTCTTAATCATGGAGTTCATCGCGTGACAAGGGGGCTGACTCATTTCCTCCTTTGAAAATCATTCACAGGGCTATTTTTTTACTCTGGGAAAATCGGGTAAGGAGGTCAGAATCTGTGTACCCAATGGCATCATCTTGGTTACAGTCCCAGACAGGGCTTGGTATCAAGTCAAAAAAACAAGGCTGCACTATGCCTTTGTACACATGAGACAAAAGTGTCCTGTAGAGAAACATGGCCAGGGGACAAGCAAGGACACTCAGAGCCACATACAGGCTGTTACAGATCACTCAGTACCACATGACCCACCTCCTTGGTTTCCTATTATTCCATTAAAAAACAACAGCAAAACAGTAATTGATAAATGATATGGGTTTGGGTTGGGTTTACAGTGTGGCCAAATCAAGCTCTTCATTTCTGTCCCCCAAGCCTATGGCAGTCTTACAGTTTTTAACAGGCCAAGAGACAAAGGTCAGAAGATGCATAGACTTAGCCATGAGCTGATTTGACAGTAACAGTCCTTTTCTGGATGGGAGGCGACTGTCTCTGTTCTTTGTTATACTTTTTATTTTTAATCCAGTTCAGGTCTGAAGAAAATGGGGTCAAATCTCATTTTAAAGTCGGACTTTGGAAAGGAGAGTTTCAAGGGCTTTTTGGGGGGATCGTGGATATAAAATTCCCATTCATTCAGGCCCAGCTGAGTTCTTCGTTTGTAGGTCCATTTGGGAGAAGCCCTGGAAGGGCAGAGTCTTCTGTACCTCTCTGAGGTCAGCTTCAACTCCACCTCCTGCTTGCCTGCTAAACCTTAATTTTGTGAGTGAAGAGAGGTCTGACAGCTTGAGGGTCTGTCTATACAATTTTTTTTTAGAAAGGACATCACTATGTGGTCCTGGCTGGCCTGGAACTCACTCTGTATACCAGGTTGGTCACAAACTCACAGAGATCCACCTGCCTCTGCCTACCGAGTGCTGGGATCAAAGGCACGCACCACTACCAGATGTCTTTAGGTTTTTAATATCTCCTACATCATACCCAGTTCCAGCTGGTTCCTCTTAAGATGGAGTGGCTGTCACACAGTCACTCCTAGAGGCCCTGCTTAGGATACTGCTACACCAAGAAACCCCAAAGCAGCAAAGTTGTACATTGCTCCAGTACCTCTTCTTGCAGATGTGTGCAAAAGATGCTGAGAATGAAAATTGGGAACCCAAAGAACTTACTGTGCATTTATTGCTGTGTCTTCCCCCCCCTCCAATTCATTTGTTGAAGTTTTACCTTCTGGTATGATGGTATTTAGAGGCAGGGACTTTGAGAAGTAGTAAATAAAATTTTCATGAGACCATCTTTGTTTTTTTTATTATTGTATGTATATTTTATTATTGTATGTGTATGATACATGAACATGTGTGCTCATGGAAGTCAGAAGAGGGTGTCAGATCCCCAGGACTGGAGTTATAGACAATTGTGAGCTGCCATGCGGGTGCTGGGAATTGAACTCAGAACCTCTTTAACCACTGAGTCATCTCTCCAGCCCTCACTCTTTCTCTTTAAAAAAAAAAATTCCAGGAAATGCAAATCAAAACAACTCTGAGATACCATCTCACTCCTGTAACAATGGCTAAAGTCAAAAATTCCAATGACAGTTTATGCTGGAGAGGATGTGATGAAAGGGGAACACTCCTTCACTGCTGGTGGGAGTGCCGGACTCGTACAGCCACTTTGGAAATCAGTATGGAGATTCCTCAGCAAAATGGGAATCAGTCTACCACATAACCCAGCAATTCCACTCTTAGGCATATACCCAAAAGATCCCTATTCATACAACAAGGACATCTGCTCCACTATGTTTATAGCAGCACTATTTGTAATAGCCAGAACCTGGAAGCAACCTAGATGCCCCTCAACTGAAGAGTGGATAGAGAAAATGTGGTACATTTACACAATGGAGTACTACTCATTGGAAAAAAACAATAGAATCTTGAAATTTGCAGGCAAATGGACGGCACTAGAAGAAACCATCCTGAGTAAGGTAACCCAGTCATACAAAGAGAAACATGGTATGTACTCTCTCATATATGGATTTTAGACATAGATCTGGGGAGTGCCAGCCTACAATCCCATGGCCAGAGAGTCTGGGAAACAGAAACTTCCTCCTATAACTGATGGAAGCAGAGGCAGACACCCACAGCTAAACACTGAACTAAACTCCTGAAATCCAGTGACAGAAAGGGAGAAATGATGAGCAAAGGAGTTAAGACTGGGCTGGTTTAACCCACAGAAACAGCTGACCTCAACAAGGGGGAGCTCTTAGTCCCCAGACTGATGGCTGTGTGGAAAGCATGGGACTGACCTAGACCCCCTGAATGTGGGTGTCAGTGAGGAGGCCTAGGTAATCTATGAGACCTAGGGTAGTATTTATCCCTGGCGTACAAATAGACTTTGAGGGCCGGGCGTTGGTGGCCCACGCCTTTAATCCCAGCACTTGAGAGGCAGAGGCAGGCGGATCTCTGTGAGTTTGAGGCCAGCCTGGTCTACAAGAGCTAGTACCAGGACAGCCTCCAAAGCCACAGAGAAACCCTGTCTAGAAAAACCAAAAAAAAAAAAAAAAAATGTGGGGCTGGAGAGATGGCTCAGGGGTTAAGAACACTACCTGTTCTTCCAGAGGTCCTGAGTTCAATTCCCAGCAACCACATGTTGGCTCACAATCATCTGTTATGAGATCTGATGCCCTCTTCTGGCATGCAGACATACATGCAGGCAGAACACTGTACACATAATAAATAAAATCCTTAAAAAAAATGTGTTAACAAATAGACTTTGAGTGCCCATCCCACAATGAGGGATGCTCTCTCAGCCTGGACTCTTGGGGGAGGGCCTAGGCCCTGCCCTGGATGAAATGACAAACTCTGGAGATCCACCATGGAGGGCCTTACCCTCCCTGGGAAAGAGTGGAGATTGGGTGGGAGACTGGGGGGCCTGGTGGAAAGGGCAGGGAAGGAGGGGAGGGAGAGGGAGCTGGGATTGACATGTGAAACAAGCTTTTTTCTAATTTGAATTTTTTTAAAAAAAAATGGGGGCTGGAGACATGGCTCAGAGGTTAAGAGCACTGGCTGCTCTTTCAGGGGTCCTGAGTTCAATTCCCAGCATCCATATGGTGGCTCACAGCCATCTACAATGAGATCTGGTGTCCTCTTCTGGCCTACAGGTATACATGCAGACAGAACAGTGTATACATAATAAATAAATAAATAAATAAATAAATCTAAAAAATGGTTTGTATTTAAAAAAAAAGACTGAAAATCAAAAAAAACATTTAAATTAGCTGAGTGGTGGTGGCACATGTCTTTAGTCCCGGGACTTGGGAGTGAGTTAAAGGCCAACCTGATCTAAAAACAGCATGTTTCAGGACAGCCAGGGCTGCTACACAGAAAAGCCAATAATAATAATAGTAACAATAAAATTAAATTTATTTTACATGTACAAATGTTTTGCCTATGTGTATGTCTATGCTGTATGTACTGCCTAGTGTTCTCAAAAGACCAGTAGAAGATGCCGGACACAGTGGAACTGAGTGAAACCACAGACAGGTGTGAGCTGCCATGTGTTTGCTGGGAATCAAACCCAGATCCTCTGGAAGAGCAGCCAGTGCTCTTAACCACTAAGTCTTCTCTCCAGCCCCCAAAGAACATCTTTCTAAATTCAACTCCTGTATTATGTCCCAACCAAACCAAAATGGAGTCAGCCATGCTAAGCACCACATATCAAATTTCGATGAGACTCCAGCAGTTAGGTGCCCTTGTTGCTCTTCTAGAGGACAGGAGTTCAGATCCAAGCACCCAGTTCAAGTGTTCACAACTGCCTATCATTCAGACTTCAGGAGACTCAACCCCTTCCTCTGGCCTATGTGGGCACCTGCATATATGTGTCATACTTACAAACAGATACACATGAACACATGAATAAAAACTAAAAATAAACAAATAAACCCTGAGTCTTCAGCATCATGAAGTCACCTCTGCTTTATAATCCTGCCAGGAAAGTAGCCTGACAGTCACCTATTGCCTTCTTTAGAACTTCCGTTTCCTGTCCTAAGTTAGGAAAACCAATTTCTGCAATGCCCAATAGGATGCCTTCCTATTTCTTTTCTTCCCTGTTTCTCTTTGTAGTTCTGGGCAACAGGTCCAGAGCCTTTCACACGCTCCACCACTGCACTCCTCGCCCCAGCCTATAAACTCCCTTTTCAAAATACAAATCGCTAATAACATCCATTAGGGGTCCAGAGAGATGGACACTTGCCGCCAAAGCTGATGATTTAGTTGCTTCTCCGTTGCTGTGATAAAACCAAAGGAACCTGTAGAAGAGCTTGTCTGGGCTTATTGTGTCCATCACGGTAGGTAGACGTGGCGTCAAGAGGCAGGCAGGATGAAGAAGCATGAAGCTAAAAGATCTCACTTTTTTTTTTTCGAGACAGGGTTTCTCTGTGGCTTTGGAGGCTGGTCTCGAACTCACAGAGATCCTCCTGCCTCTGCCCCCCCCCCCCCGAGTGCTGGGATTAAAGGTGTGTGCCACCAACGCCCGGCTAAGATCTCACTTTTCGTTGTTGCTTTGAGACAGGGTTTCTCTCTGTAGTTTTGGAGGCTGTCCTGGAACTCGTTCTGTAGGCAGGCCTCGAACTCACAGAGATCCGCCTGTCTCTACCTCCTGGGATTAAAGATGGTCTAAAGCCTAGGGATAGGAGCTTGGAGGTCAGGAAAGTGAAGTAGCAGTAACCAGTGTCTATACATGCTCTAACATCACTGAAAGCATACTTGGAAAATGACATCATTAACACGCCTTAGGGTAGAACCTTGCTCCTGTGACACCGAAGGTCATTCACTTAGGCTCTTGTACAGGCTTCATGGAAGGTCTGTGGTTACAATCAGTTGGAGCTGCCTCTAAGTTCCTAAG